CTACACACATTGTTGCTGGTTAATTTTATTCCTAGAGCCCATTTGCTGCCATCCTTTACCTTGTTTCCAAAGTAAAGAAACCTGCATCACAAGTTCAGATCATATCCTCCAGAAAAGAAAACAATATGATATTGACACCATCTGACAGGAAGATGAATAAATGGGACAAATAAGATGCTTGCATTGGAGGTTGGCAGCAATTAACTCATGTTTAAAATTTGTGATTCTATAAGCCATGGGGCAGAGCTGAAGCTAATGAAGGTCTGTGGAGGAAAGACTTTTGCAGGTCTGCACGTGGAGCACCAGGACTCTTCTGATCAGAGGCAATGGTTACAAAGGACAGAAAGCATGAGCACGTCCCCAAGCAGAGAACGCCATTTAGGGCAATGCTGATGATGTCTGGATGTCTGGAGCTCTGGGAGTGGGCACCATCACTGGTCCTTCTCCTGTGCTGCCTGACATCAGACCCCCCATGAAGGACGTGTCAGCGGATGGGTACTCAGAGCCTAAAGAACACCTGGGAGGTGTGTGCATGGGAGGTCTCAGAGAGAGGTCTCTGTGGGATGCCCTGAGTGGTCTCTGAGTGAGATTTCTCAGAGTGGATGTGTGGGAGGCCCCCCTATGGAAACAGTGTGGGTCTCTGTGTGGAGACACCTAGTGAGGGCACCTCGGTTGCTGACTGTTCCGCCCCTTACAAGAGAAGGGCACAGGGATTTCCCCCTTCTGGTTCCTTGCTGTTCTGTTGGTTTCCCTCTGTGTCACTTCTCCGCACAAGTGTCTTCGGGGTCAGCTCCCCCACCCTCAGCACTGACCTCTGAGATGCCTCTGAGGATCAGGCAGCCCCCAGGCTCAGAGTCTCTGCGTGTGCCTCCCTCTCTTCTGAGCTCTGGAGGCCACTCTGTGCCCTGAGTCCCAGCCGCTCCCTTAGACCCTGTCTGAGCCCCCACTGCTGTGCCCACCCTGAGCGATGGGGCCCAGAGGCAAGACCTGGCTCCAGGCAGAGGCCTCAGCACAAGCAGGCCTGTGCACGCCACCGTGCAGACCTGGACCTGGTCCCGTGTGTGGGGGTCCTAACAGGTGTGGGGGCAGGCCCATTCCAGCGGTCACCTGGATCAGTGCCCCCTCCTGGAGCCAGTCTCTCTACCCCATTAGTGACTCTGACACAGAGCCCCAAATCGCTCTAGAGAATTGCTCTTGTCTCCTTGCCTTCCAGGGCTTCCCTGGTGGCTCAGATGGTAAAGAATCTGCCTGCAATTCAGGAGTTCTGGCTGCGATACCTGGGTCAGGAAGGTGCCATGGAGAAGGGAATGGCTACCCACTCCAGTATTCTTGTCTGGGAAATTACATGGACAGAGGAGCCTGAAGGGCTCAAAGAGTTGGAAATGACTGAGTGACTCACAGTTTCTTGTGTAGATGGGCCCTGGGGAAGATAGCTGACTGCACCCTTCTCTACAGGTCACTTCCCATACACTAGGTGACACATCCTGCCTGCTGGCTGCCTCCATGTCCAGGCTCAGGGCTGAGCAAGGCTGATGACAGCTGAGACTTGCTATGACATAGCAGAGCCCCTGGGCCTGTTGAGTGCCACCTGTCCTCTGGGAGCCTCCTTGGGCCACATGCATAGGTAGAGGTCCTGGACCACGAGTCTGTGCTGAGCTCCCAGTCCTGAGAAAGCCGATTAACTACACTCTGGAGAGGTGGAGATTGCCTGCTTGGAGGCTCTGCTGCTTCTGAGGGCCTGGCCCTCTGTCAGGGACTCCAGGTGACCTCCCTCTGTCTGGGCTCTGGGAACTGGAGTAGAGGGGAGGCTCTGGGGTGGGGCCACCCAGAGCCAACAGCCCCGTAACTTCTTCCCTCTGGGCATGTAGATGCTGGTGGGACACCAGGGGCTCCTTGGTCACTGCACCATCTATGTGCACCTCTGACACCTGCCTCCTTTCCCTGCATCCGACACTAGGGGTACTGTGTCCCACCCTCAGACAGTGAGGTGACTGCACACAAACATGGCCCCTGCCCATTCCCTGCAGAGGTGAGTACTATGAGCTCTCCTCTTCTCCAGGGCAGGGGTGGACCAGCCCTCAGGGGCCTCCATGCTCCACATTGCAACCCTTAGAGCTGAGAGTGTGCAATCCTCACTCTCACCCCTGCTCCAGAGCATGAGAAAAACAGGGGAAGTGTGACAGGCCTGGCATGTCTCATTACAGCTCCATCTGGAAGAGGAGCTTCCAGGACAGCGTCATCTAATCCCACCATGACACGTGGATGAGGTTTCTCCCACCCTGGACTCAGGGCCAGCACTGCCCCAAACTCCCCTCCTTATTCTGATGATTCAACTTGCTTCTGACACTTTGTGAGCCTGGGGGGAATTTCAGCTTGGGCAAACTCTTCCTCTACAGACTCACAAGTTCAAGGCAGAGAGAGAGGTGGGAAGAACTGAGCTGCATTCTGAGAAGAGGGAGGTCTTCAGGTCTAGTTCACCGTGACATGTCCTGAATGCTGTTGCTTGTTTCTGTAATGCTGTGCTGGTATTATGGACACTGAGGTGCAGGGAGGGAATTAGGGATGAGTATCCATGCTGGGGTTCACTTTCCTTCCATGACCCCATCCCATATGGAAGTCAAAGCAAGCGCCTGGGAAGAGTGGACCCTGACCCATTTCCTTTCTCCAAGCAGGGCACAGACAGAGCACCATTTCTCAGGAGAAAAGACATTTATTTCAGAAAACAATTTTTTGGTAGGAAGAAGCTTTTAACACACAGAGGATGTGCTAACATGAGAGAAAAATTGTTCATATGCACGGTATGCATTCTTGGAGAAGAATTTTCCTACCAGGAATGCTGTGACACGGATGTTCTGATTGACCAGCAGAGGTGTATTTCTGAAGAAGACAGTGCCTTGGGCTGTGGTGGGGATGGCCTGGAACACTTGTCACTCTTTATCCGTGCTGGCAGGCTCTGCCCGGCCGGGGACCTGGCTCCCTGGGTAGGAAGGTCCACGTGCTGTTCCTGGGACTGGTCCACTTCCTCTTTGTAGGATACATATGGCCTATGGGGGTAGCTCACTGGTGGTGGGCTGTTTGTTTCATCACTCTCCTTTGCTCTTGATTTTAGAGTGGTAGCAGTAAGCTGGACTTAATGGGGCCTGCAGTTCTGCTTTGTACCAGTGAAGCTCTGAAGATGTTGTCCATGGTGAAGCTCCATCTTCTCCTATAAGATCAGTCCAACAGATGTCAGTCATGAAAGCCTGAGCCTCAACAGCCTTGCTGTCCACAATCAGACTTCTTTTGACAGTCCCCTGCTCTGGGCAGTGTCTGCTGCAGGCTTGCTTTTTGCAGGGCTTGTTCCAGTCTTTTGCCTTCGGGGCAAATCCACTGCAGAAAATGCTTAATCCTTTCTTTAAAGTGGTTTTCTGAAGAAACCTGTCCCTTCTTCAGGATTAACTGTTTTGTAGGGACTCTGCTGATTCCTTTTTATGGCCAGGGTGGCTCATCCTGCGGGCCTGGTAGAACCTCTGTACCACCAACCCTTTTTTATACTATTGTAGTTTGGGCCTCCTATTAGTCTCTCTCGCATCAGTGGAGACGAACTTCCTTTGCTGACTCTTATGTTGGGGCTGCCTTCTCAGGGCTTTCTGCTGTCCCTGGCTGCTCCCTCCACTTGACATAACATCACATGTGTGGGAATTGGACAGGGTTTCAGAACAGCACAGAGTTTCCTGGGAAGTCAAGGTGTTTGTGGCCATGAATATATCTGAGTGACAGTTTTTGAGAAGCCTCCCAGTGGCACAGTCTTGAAAGAGCAGGCAAGTGGCCTGGCCTTGAGCCTGTTTCTGCCAGTCTATGAACCCTTGGAACTTAAGCTTATGAAACTGTTCATCAAAGTATACATCTTCTGGATTTGTGGCAACAGACTTTGTGTTTGAGGAGGGATTTTTATGGGACCTTGGAGACCATGATCTTATATCAATATTAATTATTTGGGATTTGATTAGTAGACTAGATTCAACCTAACCAGGGTCTCCCTCCACAGCCTCTTGTTTTCTGGAAGATTGGGAACATTCATCAGGGTCCATGACAGTCACACTAGAGCAAGTTTCTGGGGTGGCCCAATCCCCAGATTCCTCCTGTGGCTCATTCCTGGCCATTTCTAGATGTGGACTGGGCTCCAAGCTGCCTTTGTCAGCCTCCACAATAGACTCACTGTGCCAAATTCTGCCCCCAAAGGTGTTATGTGGGGGCCTGAGAAGGTGGCTTGTCTTCCTGTCCAGTCAGAGGGGCCTCTGAGGGCTTCTGGATGTTTCCAGTTGAGGTTCCTCCCAGGGCCCCCCAGGTTTTCTCAGTTGCCTGGTAGGGGGCAGGGCAGGTACTCTTCAGGGTGGGCACTGCCTGGATTGTTATCACTTTCTCTCCTGGATGGGGATGAGAATGTTTTCCTGAGCCCTCTGTTAACTTGGGTTTTTGGGTGGTCCCCAGAGTCACTGGTAATCTTCAAGGTGGATCTTGGAAGTCGTATGTGATGAGAAGTTTTCAACTTCAAGCTATATATGAACCTAGGAGAAGGACCCATCTGTGCCTCACCTGAAACTTTATTATATGAGCTTCCAGCTCCAGTTGAATATGAGGACTGAGGACAAGAGACTCATAGGAAGTCTACATGGAAGCTTCCCAATCCTGAGAACAACCTGCATTTTCTGTTCCCATAGGAGCATTTGACTGTCCAGGAAGGTCTATGAAGTGGTTGGCAGAAAACCTTGAACAATAGACATTAACAGGGATCCAACACTCATGGATCTGCTGTGACTTCCTGTTTATAAAGACCCCAAGGATTTCTTCTGGATGCTTCCATCCTGGGCTCAACTCTCTTTCTAACTCAGGCTTTGCACTTGGGACCTTCACTGGAGGGTTTGCTGAGGTCATGCACAAAACTTTTAGGAACCTCCTCATGCTCTGCTTTACATCTTGGCTCAGGAGCTTTCCTGTTGGGATCCTTGCTAGGTACCAGGATGCCATTTTCTGTGTTTCCTGGCTGCTTTTGCCTAGACCTGCAGAAGGCCTTGAGGATCTCTTTGTGTCCATTGCCTGGCAAGGCCTTGGGGATTCGCCCTGAGGCTGCATCACTTTCTGAGACTCTTGGGTTCTGCGGGGCAGCCACTCTCTTGCTGCATGAACCTTATGGAAAGAGGGCACTCCAGTCTCTCCTGAACCTCAGGGCTGATCAAATCCCCAGGAACAATGGAGACAGATTTGCGTGTCTGGGAAGACCTGTTTTCCTGGGGAAGATTGGGGGTGATCTGGCTAAAGACTTGCTGAGATTTTTCTAACCAAAGAGGGTAAAGTTTGCCCACTTTCTAGTTGCTTTTTAAAAAAGTGAAATTGTAGGATTTGAATTGCGTTGAGGATCAAAGTTTGTGCCTTATTTTGGCCTACAGGTCAAGACACTTCGTCATAGTCAGTCTTCAGTTGAGAGGAAGATGGTTCCATTGGGAAAGAGAGTGTGAGATGGGCAGTGGGTCCCCATGTGAGTCCAAGGTTGTGGTTGTGACTGAGGTTTGATTGGAGTCAAGGATTGGGTTCGGTCCTGGGTCCCCATGTGAGCCTGAGTTGGTGATGTTTGAAAGTGAGCTGCGGTTGGAGTCTAGGGTTGGAGTGAGTATGGGTGTCCACATGAGCTGGAGGTGGTGGTTGAAAGTGAGTTATGGTTGGAGTCATAACTCCATAGTGTTTTTTTTTTAATTAACTTATTTTACTTTACAATATTGTATTGGTTTTGCCATTCATTGACATGAATCAGCCATGGGTGTACATGTGTGCCCCATCCTAAAACCCCTCTCACCTTCCTCCCTGTCCCATCCCTCTGGGTCATCCAGTGCACCAGTCCTGAGCACCCTGTCTCATGCATCAAACCTGGACTGGTGATTCGTTTCACATATGACAATTTACACGTTTCAATGCCATTCTCCCATATCATCCCACTCTCACCCTCTCCCACAGAGTTCTAAAAGACTGTTCAATACATCTGTGTCTCTTTTGCTGTCTCGCATACAGAGATATCATTATCATCTTTCTAACTTCCATATACATGTGTTAGTATACTGTATTGGTGTTTTTCTTTCTGGCTTACTTCACTCTGTATAATAGGCTCCAGTTTAATCCACCTCATTAGAACTGATTCAAACGAATTCCTTTTAATGGCTGAGTAATATTCCATTGTGTATATGTACCATAGCTTTCTTATCCATTCATCTGCTGATGGACATCTAGGGTGCTTCCATGTCCTGGCTATTGTAAACAGTGCTGCGATGAACATTGGGGTACATGTGTCTCTTTCGATTCTGGTTTCCTCAGTGTGTATGCCCAGAAGTGGGATTGCTGGGTCATATGGCAGTTCTATTTCTGGTTTTTAAAGCAATCTCCACACTGTTCTCCATAGTGGCTGTACTAGTTTGCATTCCCACCAACAATGTAAGAGGGTTCCCTTTTCTCCACACCCTCTCCAGCATTTATTGCTTGTAGATTTTTGGATAGCAGCCATTCTGACTGGCATGAAGTGGTACCTCATTATGGTTTTGATTTGCATTTCTCGGATAATGAGTGATGTTGAGCATCTTTTCATGTGCTTGTTAGCCATCTGTATGTCTTCTTTGGAGAAATGTCTGTTTAGTTCTTTGGCCCACTTTTTGATTGGGTCTTTTATTTTTCTGGAATTGAGCTGCAGGGGTTGCTTGTATATTTTTGAGATTAATCCTTTGTCTGTTGCTTCATTTGCTATTATTTTCTCCCATTTTGAAGGCTGTCTTTTTACCTTGCTTATTCCTTTGTTGTGCAGAAGTTTTAATTTCACCATTGCAATGAAAAAAATAAAATACTTAGGAATATATCTACCTAAAGCAACAAAAGACCTACATATAGATAACTATAAAACACTGGTGAAAGAAATCAAAGAGGACAGAAATAGATGGAGAAATATACCATGTTCATGGATTGGAAGAATCAATATAGTGAAAACGAGTATACTACCCAAAGCAATCTATAGATTCAATGCAATCCCCATCAAGCTTCCAACTGTATTTTTCAGAGAACTGGAATAAATAATTTCACAATTTGTATGGAAATACAAAAAACGTCGAATAGCTAAAGCAATCTTGAGAAAGAAGAGTGAAACTGGAAGAATCGACCTGCCTGGCTCAGGCTCTACTACAAAGGCATCAAGACAGTATGGTACTGGCACAAAGACAGAAATATAGATCAATGGAACAAAATAGAAAGCCCAGAGATAAATCCATAGTGTTTTGATTGGACCTGGATCTCCACTTGAGCCTGAATTGGTGATTGACACTGGCGCATGGTTGGAGTCAAGAATTGGAGTCAAGTCTAGCCTGAGTCTCCATGTGAGCCCGAGGTGGTGGTTGAATCTGGGGCATGGTTGGAATTAAGGGTTGGGTCTGGCCTGGGTCTAAATGTGACTCAGAGGTGATGGCCGCAGCTGGGACATGGTTGGAGTCAAGGACAAGGCTAAGCCTGGGCTACAGAGTGGATCAAGGACTGGACCAATGGCAGTTGTGAAGTTAATTTAGCTAGAATTTGGGATTGTCTGGCCTTAGAGCATTCACTGAATAAGATAGGGTGTAAGTCTAGAGGGGACCCAGGTCCTGTGTCAGTAGACACCATAGACTCACTGTGCAGAAAGGGGAGACCCAGAAGAGCTGCCTTCATGTCTTCTGTAGATGGACCCTCACTGTGTGAGGATATCGGAGCTTTTTGGGACCAAGCATCTGTTCTGGTTTGCCTTTTATGCTCCAGAAATGCTGGTGCCCAAGGTGTCCTGCTTGTCACTCAGTGACTTAATTCCCTTCCCAATGAAGTCAGATGGCAGCCTGCCTCCTCCTCCTTTTCTTACTCTTTCGAAATCTTAAGTTCCACTCTCCGGCTGATTCATATCTCTAGCAGCTTCTGGACATCTGTGCTGACAAAAAAGAGGCTACCTGCCTCTACCTGTCTGTTTCTGGGGTCTCACCAAAATCACGCCTCTGGTGAGTGTATGGGAAGGTATTCTTTTAGGTCCCCAAGTGTGTCAAGGTGGAGAAGCTCCATTCTTTGGCAGCCCCCGCCACGAAGACAGGGTAGGAAGAGGATAGCTGGAACGGACGACCCCTACGATGGCTGGTCTCCAAGGGGAGCGTGGGTGTGACCTTTGTGGGACGGTGCCTGTTGTTAGTGCCATGGGCTCACCCTGAGGGAGGCTCAGCAAGGAGCCTAATGGTGCTGAGGTGGAAGGCATGTCCCTGTATCAGGATGACATGGTGGGAAGGAGAGAAAACAAGTGGGTGGAAGACTGTCCAGGGAAAAGAGAGGCTGTGGTGTTGGCAAGGCTCTCAGGGATGAATCTGAGTGAGTGGAAACTAAGGCGGGAACTAAGCCTGGACAAAAGCTGGAGAAATGCTTGAGGCTCGAGGCAGAGGCCTTTTGGGCAGAGGAGACATGGAGGACATGGGGAACGGACTTTTCCCGCCACAGCTGTTGGGTTCCAGGAGGTGTTTCTTTGCACATCTCCCCTGGGGCATCTTGAGAGGAGACCTGATGAAAGCTGCCTTTGTCAGGGAACTTCCCCAGGTGTCTGCAGCAGACATGAGGAACAAGCTGCAGCCAGGAGTTTCTGGGCCCGGAGAACTGGGCAGGCTGGGAAGGGGTGGTCATCTGCAACCAACTGCCCTGCACGAGCCCCATACTGAATTCACAATGTCCGTGCTGTCTCTCACCCCAGGATTTTAGCCATAACCCACCCCCAGGATTCCCCCTTCCAGTTCAACCCCAGGCTACCTGCAGCCCTGGGGTCACACCATAGGCTCAGGAAAGAAGAACCACTGAGGAGAGAAGGGGATGATTCTCTACCTTTCCAGAAGCGGTGTCACATCCCAGACCTCTTCCAGTGGTTCCAGGCAACCTCTGCAAGCTAGAAATCAGCAAACTGGGTCATGGTGAGGAAGCCAGGGCATAGGGGTATTACAGGAGGCTGACTGCAGTATCCCTTTAAGGGGACACAATTGGGATATTGGAAACCAAGTACCAGGGTCCAAGGCCACATGATCCCTGACAGTGATGGTGAAGCTTGTGATAGGATTTACATTAACAAAGTGCTTTCATACCCACTACCCCTTGATGCCTTCACTAGTCCCTTTGTGAGGGAGAATGGGCAGCATTCACTGCATAGATGAATCTGAGAAATGTTAAATGATGTGCAAAAATAATTAACCTCAAATTAAAATGAATAAGTTAATTTAAAAAAACAAAACAATGTGTTCACAGTTGGACCTGGAGTCCCACCTCCCAATCCAGGTGCTATTGGTAGTGCAGTCCAGAGGCTCCTGCTGGGCCAAACCTTTTTCCAGGCCCCTCCAGCTTCATTCTCTACATGGAATCTGGGTAGTGTCTGGGTTCTATTCTTCCAGGAGCTTCCCTGAGGGTTCTGTTTCCCAAGGGACAGGCCCTGCCACTGGCCTCCTCTGAGCCGGTGGACCTGGGCCCTCAGGGTCGGAGAGATGGGGCTAACTCCAGGGGCACACATAGCTGAGTGGCAGAACGTACCTTTCAAAACTCCACTCCTCTCCCTACTCCCACTTCTCTGCTTTGGCTCCTTTTGATGTTGAGACACAGAAAAAATGAGGACTTGAGACCCAATTCTCAGTCTCTCCTCTCTAGACAAGCGTCAGACTCTCAGTGTCCATACATAATATGACTTTTGGCATTTCACTAACAGAGCTCTGTGGTTTTTCTTTCTTTTCACGAATTTTTAAGGTGGATAAAAATATTTTGTTTTCCTTTTTTGAAGCACATAAGGATTTTTGAACTGAGATTCACCCGGATCTTTTGTCATTTTTCCTCTGCTCAATTACACACACATTCTCAGAACAATGGGTGAATCTGACTCTGTCAGGTGGTCCTCTGTTTCCAAGTATAGCACCCCACTCCAAGACTCTCAAGACCTCAGCACTGTCCTCAGAGCAGTCCTGTCCAAGATACCTATTCACGGCTGGTGAAGCGGTGCTCGCGCACCTTGCTGTAGTTGAGATTGAACTCAGTATCCAGTTCTCGGGCTCTGGTCACTGTGTTTGGGAGATACCCTGGAGCCCTCGAACATACCTGGAAAACTGATATCTGAGATCTTTGGAGAGACGTGTTCACTCTGCCCCCTGTCCAGCCTGGTTGTCTCCAGAGGGTAATGTTTTTTTCTTCCATGAGAATAGATGTCCTATTCTTTCCCTTCTCAGGAATCTCTTTAGATGATTCAGAAGAGTAGAAATAATAATAGAAAAGAGAGGATCAT